AAAAGGAGCAGTTTTGATCGAATTGGAGCGGCATGAAGTCTGTCGTATTCCCGCTCTCGCCCCCTGTACCGTCGTACTTCATCTCTCGGCCAGAATACATACGTGAGAACATTAATTTATATTTGTATATATATATATGTATATACATGGGTGTACGTACAAGCGTAATTATGGACACACACACACGGACCGCATGCACGTGTATGCATACACACATCATACATCCATACATACATGCACACATACATACATACATACATACATACATACATGCATACATACATACGTACATACATACATACATAAAATATACATGCATACTTACTTACTTACTTACTTACTTACTTACTTACTTACTTACATTCCATTACATTACATCACATCACATTCCCTTACCTTACAGACATACATACATACATACATGCATACATACATACATACATGCGTACATACATACATACATACATACATACATACATACATACATACATACATATGTGCATACATACATAAAAAACATGCATGCATACATACATACGTACATTCCAACATACATACATACATACATACATACATACATACATACATGCATACATACATACATACATACATACATACATACATACATACATGCACACATGCATGCATGCATTCAGACCCTGGTACACACATATTAGATATATTCATGTGAGTATACGTGCATTCACATACACACAAGAGAATCTTTTGTTTTCGTGTGACACCCACATACACATTTTGAATTCAAGTGTTTTCGTATCACTTGTACATACATGTATGTGCACATATATATATATAATATATATATATAATATAATATAATATAATATATATATATATACACATGGATGTGTATATATATATATATCTATATAATACACATAATTCTATGTTTCAATAACACCTACACCCAAAACGTATAGGCAGGCCTGCCCATCGTGGGCTCGGTTTCTTTAGTGAGTGAGTTAGCCAGCTGACTATCACCGTTCACCCATCGGATCATCAAACCATTAGCATCCATACTCTCTTTCAGACACAGGGATTCAATATCAGACCGTTTCTCCGCACCCTTGAAAGTCATCACCGTACGACCCAGACGATCATGGAGGTTCTTACTATCCGTAATCAACACCCCTTGCACACCCTTCACGGAATCATCGCACGCCCAAAGGGAGATGGGTTCCCCTAGAAATTCTTGGACCTGAAATCTTATGGCAAACAACTCATCTTCAGCATCCACTGCTGCATGAGTCTCTGCTGCAGCCGAGCTTCGACAGGCCCTTTGAATTTTGGCGGACTGCCAGAAGAGGGGACTTATGGGGACCAAGTCTCCTGCCAAGAGTCTTTGTGTTGTCCATCCAATGAACACGCCCTTGGTGGAACCACCGTCATCCCGATTGGAGTTTGACGCATCGGCCCACGCCCACGCGGCAAATCAGGACGTCTACGTAGGGTCCTGTTGGTGAATCAGGAGTTTCTGATGCTGGTTCAGCTGGGCCTTGCGGAGGAGCTTGTTGGTCTCTATGATGTCCTCCACCTTTCCTTGGTGGATCTTCGTCAAAAGCAGACTCACTGGTGCGCTCCACTGCGGCGCCACCTGATTTGCATGCCACGATAAAGCTCCTAGCACACTTCGCAACTGGTGTAGCTCCTGCGGGGTAATTTCTGCCTCAGGACTATTCCACCGGTTTCTACTCAGATGGATTTCGCTGACATTGTTGAGGTACTCTGGCTGGCTCAACAGAAACCCTTGATCGGTCTGCTCAATCAAGACGCCACATTGTGTGAAGCGTTTAGCTTCCCATTGCCCCCATTTGAACCGTTCCTGGATCTTGGAGCGAATAGCTAACCACTCAGGACAGTCTTCAGCACCTCCAAACAAAAAGTCATCTACATGTCCGCACACGTGTCCTATGCAAACTCTATGACCTTGGGCATCAAGCTCTGGCTTGAAGAAGGACCAACACCAGGGGTCGGAAAGCTGTTGCTCACCACCTATACTCTCAAGAAACCGAAACACCGACAGAAACCACTGAATCGGAGCCTCCACTAGCCCATACGCGGCCTTTGTGAGGGCCACGATGCTCTTGGGAGGAAGTCCCAACGCCTCGCAGATCTCCGGCAACGGCTCGCAGGGCATGGTCCTTTCAGATTCGAAGTCGTCTCCTTGAAGAAACGCTCCACTGATGTCTCCTTTTGCCACTTTGAACTTCATGTTGGCATGGCACAGCTTTGTAGGAAGAGCTGCCGGGTGGTACGGCTCATTGTAGGACTGCTTGTGGGGCGGTACTCGTATAGGGGATCCATGTACCCTAAAACCACAGCTCTAGCTTTTGGCTTCAGGGGGTTTCCTTGACTGTCTTTCTTCAGCGGCTCTCCTTCTGGGCTTTCATCCAGCTTCCACGTAAGTATCCACCGCATTTTGAGTGTCTGGCTCCTACATGGTTTGTAATCCTTCGGAAGGGCCTTGAAAGCCTTAGCCACTATAAAGTTCTTCACTTCTTTCTGTTTCGCCTTTCGGAATCCCTCTCTTTCTTTTTCATCTACTTGGCGTTCAGAGATTTCCACGGCTTGTCGTCGCAGCTGTTTCGTGAAAAAAGCAACCTAAATCTCTTGACCGCTCCTTTCCTTGTCGTGTCTTCACCTGGGGCAATTCCATTGACAGGGCGATCGCCGCTCCCTCCTTCTTCCGTATTCGTTGTCCTCGTCCGGAAACACCACCCCGCATTCCTCCATCACCTCATCCCGGGGACTGGTGCGGGGTTCTCTTCCTCCAGCTCTGGCGGGCCCTCGTTCGAGGGGACTACGGCTTCTCTCTCTCTCTCTCTCTCTCTCTCTCTCTCGCCTAGCTTCTTCTTGATTTCCATAACTTCCAGCCATAGCTTGTTTACCGACAATCCTACGTGGAGTTCGTTCCCTTGGAACCTCTCGCTCTCTTCTCTCCTCTTCGCTCACCCATTCCATGGGACTGGGCATTGCCCCGCTGTCCTCAGTGATGTCCTCAAACTGGTGCGGTGGCTGTTTCCTTAGTGTCTCGGAGATCGTCCACGGAACTGTACCTTGGTTGTGGAGCTCATTCCACGACTCTTCACGAGCAGTGGCTGGCCTCAGCTGTTGAGGCGCGGCTTTCACTAGCTGTCCACCACGGTACAACCACACTACGTGTCCAGCTCTCAACTGTCCCTCATCATCTACTCTGGTCTCCGGGCTCCGTGGTCTCGGAGTCCTTGTTCTTCTTCACCATCTCGCGGAGCTGGCGGAGCTCGTTCTCTAGCTCCTCCAACCTTTCCACCGGGTCGCGGGACGAGGCTGCTGGGATCATTCCTGATCTCCCGAGGTCTCCGTCATCTCCATCGTCGCCATCTCCCACTTGTCGTTCCACTCCGACGATGCCGCACTGCTGGTGGGCCGTGCTCGGTAGCCCCGCTGTGACTGCCGAGCGAGATCCGGCTCTATCTCGCTGCTCGCCATGCGGCAGATGGTGTCCTTCTCGGTCCGACTGAGACCGTTGGCCCAGTTCGCATACCGACGTAGCCGTTATAGTGACATTCCTCCTCCTCCGCTGCCGTCTTCACAGCCCACTCCGTGTAGCTCGGGAAATTCCCCAACGTCTGGCCGTAGGTCCGCTGGCTGTACTTCCCGAAGCCCATGTAGTTGTCGTAGCTCGCGGGGACCTTCGTCTCCATCAGGTAGCGTAACATGATGGCCCGCAGCTGGTCCATGGTCTGACGTGGGTTGTGCGTCAGGTTGTGCTCGGATAGGAGGTCCATCAAGGCTTGCTTCGTCTTGGCCCTGTTGATCATCTTGGAGGCCTCCCGTTCGGTCATAGGTAGGTAGGTCTGTGGATGACGTCAGCTCTGCAATTCTCGTTGCTAGATGCACTTTCGTCCAGGATGCTGGGGGCGTCTCTCCCATCTTGATCAACTTCTGCTGCATCTCGAGCTTGGTGTTGCCTGTGGTCAGCATCGTAGACTGAGTAGACACCGAGGGAGGTGGTGGTTGGAGACGGATCAGGCTTGAGGCGCTGTGAGGAGCTCGGACACACGGGAAAAGATCTGCTTCTGGTCTTCCACGGGAATGGAAACCCATGACTCTTCAACCATGTGACTTGGCTCTTGGGGAGTTTCGGGAAGCTACTCAGGGTGTATCCTATCATCAGGAGACGGTTTCCGTGCCACGGCATGGTCTCATGCCATTTCCTGGGATTGACACACACACACAGGCTTCTCAAGCTTTTGAAGATATCCCGAAACCTGTTTCCCCTCACATTCCCGAACAACCACACTCTTCTCTAAGCCTGGTACCTCTTGCTCCATCCAAATTTCTCCCCCATCCTTAGGCTTTTCCAAAGGGATCACAAGGTTGTAACTGTCTGACATGTTGTACTTGTCCCTATGGGCCTTGGCTTGACAGTTGCACGACACTCCTATGGAGGTAGCCTGAAACCCTGGGTCACACTCTTTCATCATCTGGCAGATCACCCTCGTCAACCATGGGTACTCCCTAGTCACCCTGGTAACACCCCCCCCCCCCATGAGCAAACATTCCGAAAACCACATAAGCCGCAGGTCTCTGATCATCGTCATCATCTCTCATCATCACCTGGCTTCGGTCCTTTCGCTTGGGTGTGTGGTGGCTCCAGGGGATGGCCTTTAGGAAGTCCTTTATCTGGGCCTGTTTCGCGTTGATCTCGATCAGCTCACGGGCCTTGGTTTCTATCTGTTCCTTCAGGCTCCTAGGGCTTGGGTTTTGGTTGATCCGAGGCTCAGCTTCCTTAAAGCTCCACATACAGGATTCGGACTTCTGGGATTGTGATGATTCCATCTTGCTCTCACCTTCACCAAACGTTTCACCTAGGTGGCTGAGTGACTCATCCCTGTACATAGCATCTGGCGCACTGAACTTTTTAAAACCCTTCTGGTGATCTTGAGCGCCGGCGTTCACCAGAAGGAGCTGTCCCTAATGCCCGGGATGCGCAGTCTTCACATACTGCTGGAACGAGCTAAACGGATGCTCAAGCGGAGTAGCCCCTTCAAGCACGTCCTGGGCCAAAGGAAACAGCTGGTGTCCACTGCTGGTGGTCCAAGAGACACCACCGCCTTTGGGTCCAAGGCCTTGAACACGGCCTGGTCGTTGGAGAAATCTATCACTGCTCCTAAGGCTCGCAAACTCTTCACACTCAGCAACACTGGTTGGCCTGGGATGTCATGGATGTGCACACGCATATGGCTAGCCTTGCAGCTGATTGGCAGGCGGAGCAACGCCGTCGACAGGCAGGTATGCTGTGCATTGTTCCCGAACCTGAAGCTTGGCCGCTCCTCTGGGACGATCTCGATGCTGTCCCTTCCCGTAGCCTTCCAGTTGAGCATTGCCACTTGCTGTAAGGCCTCTTCCGATCCCAGGCTACTCGTGACGCCTCCATCTATGATGGCCTTGCCGATGGCCACGATCTCGTCCAAGGCCAACAAGCTCGCCTCTGTTGCTGCTGTGTCGTCGTCTTTGGCATCTGGCTCCGCAGTTGCCTTGTCGTCAACGGCCGAGAACACGAAGTGCACGCGCTGGTCTCCTGTGTTTCCGGAGGCAGCCTGTGGGCAGTCTCTGCGCAAGTGATTGCCTCCGCATCGGAAACACTTGATCGGCGGCCGGGAGCCTGGAGCTTTGGCTCCAGAGGAGCGGCCATTGTAGAAGCCGCGGTTCCTTCGCTTGCTTCTCTCTGGCGTCCTTGAGGGTGCGTCTCGCGTCCTCCAGTGCCGCCAGAGCCTCCTGCGCGTCGTCCTCCAAGGCCTGGTACGCGTAGCCCTCCTCGGGGTCCTCCCAGCTGGGAGTCTCCACTGGCTCGAAGCCCTCTTCATCTGCCAGTAGAGCCTCTTCTTCTGTGGCGAACATGGCCCCATTCTTCCCAGAGTCCCTTTTCCGAAGCTCCTCATCGGGCCATGTCAGCTTCAGGGCCTCCTTCACCTTCTGGGTGGAGAAGTTGTTCCACAAGTTCGCCACGATCACGCTCTTTTCTGTGGTATCCAGCCCGGACCGTTGTAGTAGGAGCCACGCGATGACGAAGTCTGGCAGGAACCGTTCTGCCTGCGCTGAGGCGTCCCTTCCACCAGCCATATGAGCTGGAGTAGGGCTCCTGGTCCCAGGATTCCCAGCCTCCTTGCCAGTCCTGATCCCACCAGTCGGTGTTGTCCTCGGACCCCTCTGGTACCTCCTCGGTCTCGTGGGCATTCTCATTCTCGGCCTCCGCCTCTGCGTCAGCGGTTTCTGCGAACTCCTCATCAGGCTGCGTTCCGCCTAACTCCGAAGAACCTTGCCCTCGACTCTCACCCCTGCGGGGTGTCCGCCAGGATGTAGAACTCCTCGACGATGCCACTTTCTGTCCAGGGCCATACTCCTGAATTGTTTCTGCCAGAGTCCTCTTGGCCTCCAGTAGGGCCTCGTCGTGTCTGACTATCCAGGCTGCCATTCCTTCACCACGTCTGCGCTTGATCCCGTAGAAGAACCTAGACATCGTCCTTCCGGCCTCCGCTAGTGTGGGCGACCGCACCTGTTGTTTTAAGCATTCCAGCAACTGCGAAGCGCCATTGACATGCGAAATCCATCCAGGTGCTTTATGCTCCACCACCATGCGGGCGGCCCCTTCAAGGGCTGCTTGGAGCCTGGGCCCTGCCAGGCTTCTCTTCTTCCACTCCACTGTCTCCACATAGATCAAGGCAGCACGACGATACGGAACGAACATTTCCGGCGTGCCATCGTATATCGGCACACCATCCTTGGTGTACCTGAGCTCGGCCATTTCCAGTCCTCACACAAACGCGTCTCGCGGTGAGATTCCAGAATCAGCGTTGCCCTGGAGCCCCCAAAGACCTCTGTCTTAGGGTAGCTCCGCTACCATGAATCAGCTACGTAGGCACAACGCCAGCAAGGCTCTCTTTTTCCTTCGAGCAATGGCGTTGCAACCATCGCAACAGCATGTGTTTGCGAGCATTCAAGCTGTTCAGCAAGCAAGGGTTTAGGGTTATAGCACAGATCTTCGGACTCAGGGTCCGGTCGAGGGCCCGCGGACCGGACATAAGATCATATCACAACATATCAGGTCGTGTCATATCACTAACATCTCGAACTATGCTATATCACATCGTTGCAGATCATATAGTAAAAGTATTCCCTAAACCCTAAACCGTATAATACAGTACAAAACCATGATCGGCCACTCCTGCAGGAAGATGCAGAATCGCCTCTTTCCTCCTTCAGTCGTGAGCCTTCAAAGCAACTCTGAGCAGAAGTTTGGTTTTTTGGAGATGAGGGTTTAGTTTAGGACATTTTCAGGTGGGGAGTTACCATTATAGGAGCCTCATAGAAGGTCTATATACCTTATGGAAGCCTTATAGAAGCCTTATATACCCGAGCTCTCCACCTGTAGTTTCTTTTAATATAGGGTTTGGGGAATCTGACCAGGGGCGTTATGCGTGTTCACGAACTTGAGGAGAAATTGGAGGGTCTTCCAGATATTAGCTTAAACGCCACCCCGCTGTCCATAGTATAGTGTGTATCTGATATCATAGCATTGTATCACTCCGTAGTTTGCAGTACTTTACCGTATACTATAGTATATTGTCCTGCTCGTGCAAGAAGTTCTGTGGAGCTGAAGACTCTGGAAATGTTGAAAATCTTCTCTTGTGTGTGCAATTGGTGAATTCTGGTTAGCGTTGTTGTTTTTGTGTGTGGCGTGGCTCTTGCAAGTAGTCTGATCACCTCGAAAAAATGTGATGAGATGTTCATGATAAAGCGGACAGCATCATGGCTGTATCATGGATATCGTGCCACGTGGAAAGTGTTCCCATGTACTATTGTGACTGGCATGTCCACCTATGGTTCTGTCCACATGTGTCTATTAAACCCCAAACTCTAAACCCCCAAACCCTAAACCAAATATTCCCACGTTCACTATTGCCCTCAACAGCATCATATTCCCTTTGTCATGGTCGACCTGGTGAATGTAACCGCCACTCATAGCCACCTCGGCCGGGTTCCTACTTCGAGGCCGCTAAACCCTCAACCCTAAACTCTCAACCAAATGCTAAACCCTAAACTCTAAACTAAATGCTAAACCCTAAACTCTAAACTATATGCTAAGCCCTAAACCCTAAACTCTAAACTAGATGCTAAACGACACCCTAAATCCTCAAGGCCCCGCCCACTGGGCACTGCAAAGCCGATCGGCAGTTCGGCTCCCCTAAAGCAACATGATTCTTGTTACTGTTTTTGTTATTGTTCCATTATAAGTATAGTATTAGTTTTTTTGTAGCATCCTATCGCCTACACTGTTGTTATTTTTTTTAAACTTCTACTTCTACTTCTACTTCTACTTCTACTTCTACTTCTACTTCTACTTCTACTTCTACTTCTACTTCTACTACTACTGTGTCACTACTATGATCATTATCATGATCATTATTGTTCTTACGAGTACTGTTATATCTGTTATTGTTATGGTTATAAGCTGGCCTCTCTGCTGGCCCCCCAAATGTGAGACATACATCGAAACGTGCCTCTAAAGTTTCCCAATGTCCGCGCTGTTTCTGGATGCCTCAGCCCCCTACGAGGCGAAAGTTCGCTTGTGATCTGGTTGTTTGGGGAGGATGAGAACGGAGAATGGGGACAAGGATGAGGACGGGGGGGGAGCTGAAAGGGGAAGGCAAGACCCTGAGTGTATCCAACTAGCACCTCGAACGGTCCAACATCCAACCCCAAATCTCGCAAGCAAAGGAGCGGGGATCTGGGCAAGCACTCTGAACGCCCAAATTCAAAAGCCAACCCGATATCACGCACGGCAGGGGAGAAACGACTGCTGTGTACTACTACTCCTCCTCCTCCTGCCCCTACTGCACTGCTCCTGTTCCTGCTACTGCTACAGCTATTGCTACTTGCTGTTGCTGCTACTGCCGCCGCTATTGCTACTTGCTGTCACTGCTCCTGTTCCTGCTACTGCTACTGCTACCGCTACCGCTACGTGCAACTGCTGCCGCTGCTACGACGACTACTATTGCTGCTTCCAAAATACGAGACTGCTAATACCGACAATACTATTGAAAGCAACTACATAAACTACTAATACGGCTTCTACTACTACAACTACGACCACCACTACTACTACTACTACTACTACTACTACCACTACTACTACTACTACTGCTACTACTACTACTACTACTACTACTACTACTACTACACTACTACTACTCGAATTTAATACTACTCTTTCTACTAATTCTGTTACAGCACTCATACTGCTCGTGCTACTGATATAATTACTGGCTTCGACTACTGTTAGCTCTTTTTCAGCTGTTGCTGTACCCTGAAATGATCTGGTTCTGACAGCCAGTAAACACCACCGGCCTGAGGCACTCTGCGCGGATACCGTCGCCACCAGATCGTTGTATGCATGATCGGCATGAGCGATCTTTGAAGAGCTACTTAAAGGACGCGGTTTTCTCAAACCGGCTAATGGGATTTGTTCTGCTCTCCTGGCTTGAGGTGTTGCGTAGGCTTATGGCGCAGAGTGCAATTCCGCGCACGGCTCTACTTTGTCGTCAAGGGCTTGGTTAGGCGTGCATCAGGTTTTTGGGTTTGGCGTGCACCGTAGCTTATTGAGGGTTTAGGCTTTGTGTCGCAGGGACAGAGGCCGAGGGCTGTGAGTGCAGAACTGGGAGACACGAGTATCCGCGAAATGCATCTTCGAATTCTTCGCACTAGAGCTCCCTAAACCCGTAAACCCTATCCCCTAAACCCTACCCAGGGACTTTGTGTGGACTTTTCTGGACTTGAAGATTCGAAGACCCTAATTCTTCGGCCAACAGCTCCCTAGGGCTCCAGTTACCTAAATATTAGGTTACTGGGGTACATAATATATATATATATATATATATGGTTAGTAACCTACTATTTAGGCAACTGGAGCCCTAGGGGCTCACAAAGCACCCCAAAGCTTTGACGCCGAATCTTAGAAAGCCGAGAGATCCTCATGGTTGCCTGACAGTGGGACTTAGTAACTACCTTCACAACCCCAAAAACCTACCTTTTTTTGTAGGGTCCCTATAAGTCCCATAATAGGGTTTATACTTGAAAAAGCGGCCTTTGGGTTCTTAAGGTAGGGTTTTAATAAGGTAACTTTGGTTTTGACTACGAATCACCCCAATCAGGGTACCTATAACCGTACTTATTACTTCCCCCGAGCCTCCAAGTATGGAGCTGCATTGGGTGCATTTCCATGGTGCGGGTGTTGTTATGACATTTTACATAGCTTGCTTCCGCTACATAGTTGCAGCATGCTTACTGCCGTTGTTGATCGCATTGTCGCCATTGCTAGAGTTTTAGATGATGATCCATACCTTCACTGGTAATGCTCGTATGGGTTGTCTGGTTATGGCTGTTCTTCTTTTGAGACCACTAGCTCATTAGCATTTCGACCGCTGCTACGTACGCGTATTCTGAATTGTCGATTGAACATCATCATTGTCTGCACGTGCTGGAACCTGACACTGGGTTTGAAACCAGCACCTCGCCCGCAGGCGAGCGGCGACCACAGGGCCCTAATTGTCCCTGCGGAGCACAACCGTTAACTAACCACCCACAAGGCACACCCTGCTGCTCCCATTGCTCATTGCGGAACGACGACTACACTCACATGTACGAATACAATCCACGACAACAGCAACAGCAGCAGCAGAAACAACAACAACAACAACAACAGCAACAACAACAACAACACCAGCTGCCGCTGCTGCTGCTGCTGCTGCTGCTATTACCCTATTACTTCTACTGCTACTACTACTACTACTACTACTACTCCTACTCCTACTACTACTACTACTACTACTCCTACTACTACTACTACTACTACTACTACTACTACTACGACTACTACTGTTGATACGAAAAATCCTGCATCGATTTCTCGACGCAGGCCTCACCCCCCGCAACCCCGGAATCTTAATATTGAGCCGAAAAGACCCGAAATGGGGAAAGGCGCGAGTGGTAAAAATCCTGCATCACCCGACGGCCTCTCCAA